AAATAAACGCACTGACAATACGGCCCTTATCAAAACGAACACGTGGTTTCTTAATAGCGTGTCAAAATTCCTTAAAAAATAACAAAATCCCATCGCCTTTTAAATTTTCCAAAAAATATCAACACATGCTAAAAACTGCTTTGAGAAAAATGTGGCATTTCTATCCTAAACTCCAAAGAGTAAATACATAGTTTCGACAACTTGTTAAGTTATCATGATTATTAGTGTGTTTTACCATTTGTGATGTTTGTGTTAAAAAATATATATCTTATCAATGTGCACATACTCATACCATGGATTAATAATGGTTTCATATGCTATATTAGGATACAAAATTGTAAGTGTTTTATTACTATTATTATTATTATTGTTTTTCCACAAAATTTCCTTTCATATAATTTATTTAGTTTCAATTTTTATAGTTAACTTGATTACCACTGAATGATGGCTAAGATGCTAGCCGAAACGTATGGATTTTAAATAAATAAATTTTTAAAAAAAACTCATACTATTTTTATTGATGTTACGCCCGATTATTAAACTCAAATTAAACATATATATATATATATATATTAAATTTTATATATTTTTATGAATTTTTGAAACATAGTAAATTTCTAGGCAATTCTGCATTGTTTTCATCCATTTAATTTCACATGCTTATACCAGAGTACAAGAGTCAACTTATTACCTGCTTAATATTTAAGAAAATTTCAGCAATATAATTGGCTATCCAAATCCTCTTAACCAATAAAAACAAACATAACTTCAGCAAAAACTTTATTTACCTTTGTATTATGAACAGGATGATTCGCTGTCGTCAGTCATCCACCTTACCTCTCATTCACTCTTTCATACCTGACTTACCTGTTGAGGCTTGACAACGTTGATGTGTTTGAAATGGATTTTATAACTGTTTTTTAATCGAATCTTACGTCGCAGTTATGATAGTTTAGTCGTATGAATAATATTTCTTCTGATTAATCGATGGATCGGTATTTGTAATGTCAGTATGGATATGGATACCAGGTACTGGAGATCCGAGGTAAATGATAATGTTATGGTAAAGTAAATTCACTGAGGTTTCTCCATATTATATAAAAAAAAATATAACGTTTAATACTAACTGTAAAATGATTTATTGATTAATTAAATTAATTTAATTAAATAATGCTAATTTTAAGTACCTCACTAGACAAACCTTTTATGTTGCAACAAATGCATGTTACATCAAAGTTAATACTCATTTACGTAATTTTTTGGATGAAACGATCAGTTCTCGTAAAATAATTTTTTTTTTTTTTTTTTTCTTTAACAGCGATCAGAACTTATGAGTTCTATGAGCTGTTGTGATCAATTATCTTACAATTATTATAGATGGCAACCCAAACAGTTGTCCCATCTCTATGTGCTGAATTATTACAATTGCTGTAATAGTGATGACTTTTTACTTCCAAGTGGCATGTTGCCACTACAGCTATGCCCACGAAAGGCCATTTTCACTTGAAATCATATTTGAAATCTGTGAAAATAATTATAACAAAGATTTTTAAAACTCCGATGCATTTTTTTATAGAATCAATCAGTGTGTTTAATAACCTTTGGAATTATTGCGAAATGATTAAATTTATTCAGTTTTAAATTTTAATTAGTGCATCTTCAAACGCATTTTATTTTCTTTGTTTTTACATATTATTTTATTCACAGTTTTAGTTTTTTTATTATTATATAATACTTTTGATATTTTTGTGAATTATAATTAGCTTTAGCAATTATTAGTATTTTAGTAGTATATTGTAGTAGTATTAATTTTAAATTGGTAGTATTGTTAATTTTCTATTTTAGCTTATAAAACAATAAACACGGTCTTGTAGAAATTAAAAGTAAAATGCTCATAAAATAGACGGACACCATGACCATATCATAAAAGTATATCTTTGACTGTAAATTATTATCAGAATTTTGGAAATTTTAAACATAATATGCAAAAACTGTATAGCCCTTTCAAAACTGGTGGTACATTAGCCAATAATTTATAATTAACAGATACATATAATTTTATGTTCATGGATATAAAAATTCATACAGGGTATGGGGTATACAGATTCATACTCTATATATTCTTGTACCTGTCAACAATAACTTAGCTCTATGACGCGTTGATTAAGCATCTTTAAAATTATTGTCAAACAATTAAATTTATTATAAAATATAACTAGCTGTAAGTGGAATTCTGTCTTATGGCAATTAAGGCATCGTGCCTTAAGGCAAATTGCTGGAACTTCCCGTGCCAAAAATTATTATTTTTTTAAAAACGATTAACATTTTTGAAAAAATTTTACTTCGAAAAAATAAGATTTTTTAGAAATTTTAAATTGGACAAAAAATTACTTTTTTTTGAAAAAAAATTTTTTTTTTAAAAAAAATTTTTAAACAATTTTTTTTATAAAAATTTTTTTTTGGAAAAAATGTTATCTTTATTTTGATATATTTTGGAAGATCTGAACTTTTTTTCAAAGCAATCATACTGCTTTAACTGCATAGAGACAAAATATAAAGCGCATAAGCGCCGCGTCGCTGTCTAACGGAAAAACAATGGTACGGAACCCATAGGAATGTAAACAAAACTTATACTTATTGTTAAAATCTCAATAAAATATCTGATAATTTGATATGCATATGTCTAATGTCTAATGATTATTGTTGACCGCCAAATGTTATTTTTTTTTAGTTTTTTTTACTAGATCTCCGAAACCGCTAGACCTATCTTCATGAAAATTTGATCAAATCTTCATCTTGTTAATACAAGTAAAATGTTTTTTGAACTATACAAATCGGACGCTCCGTTCTCTTAAAAACTGAGTTACCGTTTTTGGCCCTTTTTGCCCCATATCTTCGGAACGGCTAGAATGTTTTTTGAATTATTCAAATTGCTTCATCCGCGTTCCCGAAATCGTCGACGAAAATTTGTATCCGAACACACACACATGCACGCACACACACACACACATACATCAATTTTCTCCAACCTCTGAAACGTGAAGATATATAAAAATTTTCATTTTCGATTTTTGTGCGATTACTATAACTTACCCTACGGAAAGTTAATTATAAATAAATCAATTTATCATCTCCAAATTTCCACAAAATTGAAAAAGTGCTCCCGCATAGTCACAGTCTAAACGCATTTGCAAATAATTCTGTGCGACATTTTCACTTATACTGTGCTCAGCTTGGCGGCATTTTCACATTTTTCAATAATTTTCACAAAATTGGAAAAGTGCTCCAGTACACAAACAGTCTAAACGCACTTGGGTAAACATTTGTACCAGAGTGGCGCTTAGACTGTGCTTAGCTTGGGTGATTTTTTGAATTTTTAATCCAAAATTACAAAAAAAATTTTTTGAAAAAAAAATTAGAAACAAAAAATTTTTTTTTCCAAAATCAATTATTTTGTTGAAAAAAGCAGAAAGTTCTTTGAATCATTTAAATCGGACGCTTAGTTCTCTCAAAAACAGCCATTTATTTTAAATTTAGCTCTGTATCTCCGAAACCTATGGGCCTACCTTTGCCAAAAACTAATCAGCACATCTCCCTATCAATAGGAATCGAATGTTTTTCAAACCATTCAAATCGGTTGATCCGTTCTCTCAAAAACTCGCTTTCTATTTTTTGCACTCTTTGCTCCATATCTCCGTAACGGCTGGACCTGCCTTTGCCAAAAACTAATCAGCACATCTCCCTATCAATAGGAATCGAATGTTTTTTAAACCATTCAAATCGGTTGATCCGTGCGCCCGAAAACGTGGACGAAAAAAAGCGGACATACAAAACACACACACACACACACACACACACACACACACATCCATTTTTTCTGAAGTATGCCAAAATGTTCAGAAACCTTCAAAACGTCGAGAAATGTAAAAATTTTTGATTTCGATTTTTGGACGATTACTATAACTTACCCTACGGGAAGTTAAAAAAACACTAGTGTAAGTGTTTTCAAATAATTTAATTTTCGACGCAGTAATAACGTTCAACAATCCATCGTTTCAGCTTACAAAATATTAAATTTTCCTAAAAATGAAAGGTATATTGCCCATAAAATAATCAGACGTTAGTTCCATATCATAAAACTGCTTTTGTGACAGTGAATCATTATCAAGATTTTGGAAATTTTGAACACATTATTCAGAAAAGAAAAAGTTTTTGCTTTTTGTACCTAGAAGTACAACGTCAACTTCTGCGTGGATTAGTGGTTGGAGCTATGGGATTTTAACCAGAGATCCCAGGTTCGATGCAACCATAAATAAACATAGATGCAGTCATAGATAAATCAGTGTAATGAATGCAATTGTTTTGTTTGCTATCTAATTGTAAGAAAAACGACCTAGGTATTTAAGTCAAAAATCATCACAACAGTCTATAAAACCCTCTAGTTGTTCCAGTAACTTAAAAATGCAGTCAAAATTTAAAATCAACTTGATTCTTGGAAGGTATTTTTAAAAATAACATCAAATTTTTTTAATCATGGCTCGCCCGTAGGTAAGCGGTTAAGTGCGACGGGACCTGAATCAGAGGTCCCGGGTTCGATACGCACTTCGAGCAGCCTGTTGTCAGGCAGCAGTGACAACGCTTTTCACTTGGAAATATAGATAGCAATATGTTTCCAAGTGAAAATAGCCCTTGCTCGGCATTGCTGCACCAATAAAATGTCAGCCCTATTAGATTAATTCTAATAACAAAATCATCAAATATGGATGGATTAACCATTGGGTTACCATCTACAAAATACGAAGTAAGGAGAAGTTTCAGCTCAACAGCTCATAGGATATAAGGTTCTGATCGCTGTTAAAAAAAAAAAAAAAATCATAATCAACAAAAAAGTATTGTTCATTCATAAAAAGTGTGTTATACATCCTCATTTCCTGCATTTTTACAATCCCCATAACCTTCAGGAACCCTAATAAATTTAATTAATTTAATTCCGTAAACAGTTCAGCTCGTGCCGCGCACGGTTCGGTCTCCAGGCATCGCGATCACCGAAACTTGGCGAACTTGGCGGCAGGTTCGCGTCGCCGATGTCCCTCGCCAGGAGAGTCGCACACGCACACATCGACGGTCCCCACTTGACTCGAAAACTTTTGTGAACGACTATTGTGAATGCTACAACAAACTGATTAGATGGAGAGCTGGGGGAAAAATGAAATATGAGGGACATAGTGAGAGACAAAAATAATTTAGAGTTAACCATATTAAAGATTTTACATGATAATAATCATGTAATTGCTTGCTAGGATTGATGGTTAGATTTCAAGTCATTTTCGGTAAATTCTATTGTCTCATTCTTTTTCTTAATCAATAATTTTTACATCTATCCTAAAAGTAAAATAAGAAGTAAAATTGTAATAAAATCCAATCGACTTTGAAAATACAAAATTTTCTGAGAGTCAAGAATCGGAAGGCTAAGATAACAAACGAAACAGCACCTCAAAGTGTGAAAAAAGAAGATGACCTTCCAGAAGTTTTCTCATCAGGAGAAGAAGAAGGAAAATAAAACTGTATCGGATTCATATTAGTCGTTAAAAGTGAAATAGAAATACTGAAAGGACTGATACAAAAATAATATAAATAATCTGTTATTTAAGGAAAATACAAAATAGTGAAATCCGAGGCACAGTACACTGAAACATAAATGCAGAAGTTTGAAAGGTTGAAGGTTGAGAGATAAACTATAGAAGAAATACTATCATATTGTGTATGTGCTTCCAGTCTAAAATAATTTTAATAATATAAATTATTATTGAAATAAATCGATTAAAAACCTTAATTTGTCACTCTTCGTGGAATACTTTCAGTTTGCTCATCAGTAAAGTTATTTTTATATTCTTGATCGATCTCCTATATAAACTTCAGTTTGCTTGTCTGTATATACTCTTTTTATAATCCAGGTCAATTTTTAGCTTATTTTTCAGTAGGTCTATGTATAACTTGGTTTTCTGTAAAGCTCTCTTGTTCTGTTGTCCTCTTCCAGATCAAATATTTAATTTTTACTCTATTACAATCAAGACATTTAGTCATTTTTGTTGACATGTAGCGTAAAGCTTGATTTTGGGGGGCAATTCACAAGTTGTCTTATACGGTTGTGACTAATGACTTATTCTTAATAGTATTTTTTATTTTTTTATGATCAATATGCAGCAATGCTTCCGAAAGGCAATTTTCAGAGATTATATATGAGATCTACATCCACAAATTTGACATCATGCTGTCTGAATTCTAGATTGGTTGAAGTTGGGATCGAACCCGGGACTGGAATAAACTGGAATTATGGAAGAAGATAATAAAATAATCTCTTTCCCACCTAATTTTACACTATTTCTTGGCAGTGGCAGATATAAGAACATATTAAGCTCTGTATAATTTTGTTAAATCTAGTAACATGAATTGTATAAATATTGCCTAATATTTGCACAGAATACAGAGATTTTATATTTGGAACGAAAACCCGTGTGGACCTACGAATTACAACTTTGCGGTACTGCTAAAAATAGCAATTTAAACATAATACAACGAGCACAAAACAAATTCCTGCGGCAAATATTAAACGCTCCTCACTACACGCCAACATGGATTCTCCACAAAGACACGGGTATACATACAATTCAAGAACATATATCAATGTTTGCCTGTAATTATAAGAATAGAATGGACGCCCATCCTAACCAACTAGCAAGCAACTTATACCAGGAAGGTCAGCCGACCAGGTTTTAAGAGAAAAATACCTAGAGATCTAGTATAGTTTATTTTTATATATTTTTTTTTCTCCATATTTGTCTTTAGTTTTTTTTATATTAACTATAGTAGATACGCCACTGAGCGTATCTACTAATTTGTAAACAATCAATTGTAAACAACTTGTCAGCATTCTCTGCTGAATATAATTAATTTTATAGATTGCAGAATGAAAATAAAATATAAAAAAAAAAATTAAAAAAATGTATTATTTTTAGAAGTAATTAACTGAATTTGTAATTGTGATCGTGTGGTTGGAACTCATTTTTGCAATACTCCGAAAATCATATGGCAACTTCAGAGACCTTTCCCAAAGACCTTGTCTATATTTACCCAGCTCTCCATCTATATCACAAAATCACTAACACGTTGACCTGCGACCACACAGACGCTTGTCGACAAGCGGACCTTTTGCCTCTGTGCATGTGGGCGTGCTTGGGGTCCCAGCCGAAGACCATTCGACCGGTGTTGTCGAGTACCATGCAATCATACGTCCCTCAACACTGCCAAAGAGCGGTGGAACTGTTTATACTGGTAAATGGAAACTGATTCCAGTTCTCTTCCTGAGCAAAAGTGAAATGAAAGGCGACGTCGACGCGTGAATTTGTTATGCAAAGTGCAACACGTGCAGGATATATGTCCAGGATCGGATTTATATAAAGATTATCATAATTGACTTATTTGAGTGAGATTTTAAAGTGATTGCTAAATTGTGCTTGTAAAGGATAGTAAGTGATTTGAAACAAGACTTTGTGTTAACGTTTTTTTTTTGACTTGATGGAATAGGATATACACAATTTGATAAGGTAAGAAGTATTAATAATTATATTTTAACTGCAGCTGATGGTAATTGCCGTTGTAAACAATATATGCAATCTATTGGGAGTTGGTATGCACCTTCTTGCATAGTTTTTTGTGATGAGTGACTTTGAGATTGATTGACTGGTTGTGATAGATAAATTGCATAAAAAATTAAAGAAAAGTTTGCCAATATGAAAATATTGCATATTATATCTTTTACTTTGACTAATTTTATATATTAGTATTATTTTATGTAAAATGTCTATGATGATTCTGTATTTGAATTTATATTACAAAAGATTCATTAATATCGAGTAACAGAAATTGATTATGTAGTTGACAAAATTAAAGAAAAACTTGAAAAATTAAAAGAAAACTATAAAAATAAAATATTGGGAATACATAAATAATGAGATCAATAATATCAATAACAATGAAAAAATTCAATTGGTAATTAGTAATATCTTGTTTTATGTTGACATCAAATTATCGAGAGTGACTTTAAATTAATTATTTTGATGTTAAAAGAAAAATATATTGCTCGTTATTTAATAGACCAATAATCAAAAATATTCTTCAATAATCCCATTTATTTAAAAATGCTAGTTACCTAAGATGATATTCTGCAAAATTTTATAAAATTGCTGTATTAATTAATTAATTAATCAAAAATCTGAATCCATCTTATTTTTTTATTAATTCAGATATATAATTTATTATAAAAATTTTGAAATTAACTTGTTTACTCGACTGATCAATTTTATTTCTGCCTTACTAATAAAAAGTTTTAATCCATCTTATTCGTTAAAATGCAATTTTATCAAACTTTAAAATTGTTAGTTTTTTAGCTTTTGGCAATATTATGAAATCGCTAAATCGAATAATCAAAAATTATGATCCATCTTATTTATGTAAATGCAAAATTATAAGTAATACCATTTTAAATTTGCTAGTTTGATAATTATATTATTTTTTTAAATGATGATATAAATTATATCATTAGATTTACTAGATGTTCTCAAAGGGCATTTGTAAATAATATAGTAAAAAATGTTATTTTAATTTATGTAACAAATTTACTTTTTTCAATAAACAATCAAGGTATTACGTTCAAACTATGACTAAATACTGATAATCAAATTACAAGACAATCTAATGTCTCAAAGTATTTCAATCATGTGACATATTTACATAACATTAAAAATGACGAAACTTTATGCATATTTTATACACAATACAATATGGCAATTAAAAATGTATTAAAAATGATTTTACAAATATATTTTGTGACTTAATTCTAATTAAATTGGTTTTTAAATTGTATACAAACGCCTAAAGTCTACTTATAATTATTTGTTAATTATTGCATAATTTAATCCTATTTTAGTATAAGGATAACAATTTAAATTAATTTAAGCCTAGACCAAATAATGGATGTACAGATTATCCTGTTAAAAGATATATATCGGTTTTGACTTTATAATTGTAATGCGGATTAGAATAGGATTACTTAAATGCGGAAATTAAAATCCACTTAAGATTAGTTTTTAATTGCATAATAATTTTTGTTGCAAATCATAATTGGTGCGGCAATTATTTATATTCTACATAAATTTACATAGTCAAGAAATATTGATCTGCTGATAAAAGAAAATAACTAAGTAGACAAATGCTAATTTTCAAAATTATTATATATTACCTTAATGTTTTTTAGTAACAAATTATTTAATTTTATGATTCAATTGATCTGAATTGCAATATTTAATCAGATGTATCAAGCAAATGATATTTGAAAATGATGACTAATTTCCTTGATTGATCAATATTACCTTTCCAATTCATATAATCGATATTGTGAATTCTATTTTATCATTTCACTTTTGAATACAAGTCAGTCATATTATTCAGGAGTGAATGCAAGTAATATGCACTTATGGTTTCCATAGTGACTTTGGTCATGGAATATTGTTAATTGTAAGTCGTACATTCGTTTAATATAACAGTACAGAACAACCTTTAAAATACCGGTCTGTGCAAATTTTTCAACTCATTTTGCAGTGATAAAAAAATAGTTAAAAATTATTTCAGAAGTACTTTTGATATTAAAATTTTACTTAGAACTGTTGATACTTAAGGCTATAAATATTGCAATTTTCATATTAATAATTATTTGAATAACAAGTAACTTTGCAAGGTAATACTTGAGCACGATTATTAAATTATAATATCATTAGTTTCTTAATGATTGATGCAGAAAAAATGATAAACAACATATTAATATTTATAAACAATGATGAGGATTTTTAAATAGATTAGTTAAACATTTTAGTAAACAGTTACACAGTTGTTTGTTTTTATTTCTTTTTGATTTTATTCTAAATTCGGATATAAACTAGGAAATTTTAGATACCTTATTTCTTGTCTATGCTTTTAATTTATGAGTCTAATTTTTGTTCTATAAATCGATACTAAGGATATTATCATACACAGAAATTTGCTGGTGCCTTCGACAATATCTTTTTAACAAAGTACAAAGACTTTTTTGTAGTTGTATTAAGTGATTCCATCTGCTTGAAACCTTAAATTCTGATTGCAGTCTCCAAATTTATTTTTAGTTTATTATGTAAGACAAGAACAAAGATCCAGTATAAATTTTCATGTTATTTCCTACCACTTTTCCTCATTATACCTCGAACCTATCAAAATATGTTTCACCATGTTATCTTTTCAACGGCTGAAATAACATCGCTTTAGATTCAAAAACAACATTACAAGATATTTACGGCAAGTACCTAGCTTGTTTTTAATTGACAGCAACTTCCGAGCCCTTTTTACCCTTACAACGCCCCAGGACGTGCACCTGAGATTGATTGACATTTCTATGCGATTCTTGTTGATTGCTGCAATCAGCATTGGACAGGTTACATAAGGCAGGGGTTGTAAAACTATTATGCTAAAAATATATATTTTCATTCCATATACCAGCAATATCGTCAAGGTTCTACCAAAAATGAAACTAGAGATATCGACATACTTAACATTGATTTTGAACAGTTTTGTCAATTCCGAATCTATATTTTAATATTTTCCATTGATTTTTTCTAAGGTTGCGAATATATAATATTTATTGTTCCAAGTGGAATTTTTACAGTTATTTTGCGGTATTGTTTTTATTTTTAACCCATGTCGCAAACGGTCACTGTCATCTATCTGTTTAGCCATGTGCTAACAAAGTGTAATATATAATAATTGAACATACAATATACAATAAGTGTTTATTCCGACACATATCATTTCTTTCGTGCTATAACAAAAATATAGAAATAATATATACAAAGTAACGAGATTCATTTATTTCTAATAATCAAGATATTATCGTGATTACTATTATACATAACATTTTTTTTATTATCTCTTTTATTTACAACTGTCCGAATAATATTAGGACCACCACTGTGCGGCCTGATATGCCCTTTCTATTTATATTAATCAAAAAAAATTACTAGATGTCATATTTATAGAGGGTTGTAATTACTAAATGAAATAAAAAAAATTACAACTGTCCAGTTAAGTACATCCAATAAATTTGATGAATTTACAATAGTTGGCCAAAAAGGGATATTGTATACTACAAGGGCATGTTGAAAAAAACAACTCAGTAGTTTTAAATTCATGAAGAATTTTTTTTCATATGTCAAGTATGATTCATAGTAAATATATTATGTGCGTCTATGCAAAATTAATAATTTCGATTTGTTTCTATTTAAATTGATTTGAGTCACATGTACATATTTTCAATCTAAAATAATATAAAACTGTTATGATAAAATGCCAATTTTGTATTGTTGATAAAAACCATGCTGGAAAATAGGCTATAAAAATTATCCACGATGAATTTCTTTTATTTGTGATATATTTAACCTACATTCTTTTATAAGAATAATCTTTATGCTTATAGAACAAGTACAATTTTAACCAGTCCTCTCACCAAATCAATATGTTTAATCAATATTAGTTGTGCTAGTAAATAAAAATATTTTTCAGCACAAAAATAAATTAATCTATATGTTAATTGAACTGATTTAGACAAAAATTGTAAAACTGCAATACTTTTATTATATTCAAATTTCGTATTATAGATTTTATTGCAAGAAACAATTAATAAATTGTTTTGCAAATTAATATGTCTCAAAATATATATATATACCAATTTTCTAAGATTTTATAGTTATTTATACAACTTAAATTAGTTAAGGTGAATCAAAATGTATTAAAATGTATTTACAAATCTACTTTTGTCACTCGCCCTAATTAATAAGATTTTAAATTACGTATTATACAAACGTCTAAGCTCTACTTATAATAACTTTTTAATTATTGCATAATTTAATCCTATTGTCATATTAAATAAATTATGAGTATAATATTTTACTGTAATTTAATGCTAGACAAGTTAATGAAAGTATTAAGGATTATCCAGTTAAAAGATATAAATCGCTTTTGACTTTATATTTTTTGATTCTAATGTGAATTAGAATAAGATTATTTAAAGCAAAACGCAACTTCCAAATTGATAATAATTATGAAAATATGTTTATCATCAAATCTTACAAATTAAATTTTTTCATGTAAAAAGAGCCCTTACCCATTGTGCCATCAAAATTAAATTATTACTTTTGGAATAGGGTAGGGCGGGGCACAAAGGTCCAATTTAACTTTGGGCAATAATATTCTGAGAACCAAACCAACTATATCACAACAAATAAAATATGTCAAATAGGCTGCTATATGATTATGTTCAGTAAAACTCCAGCTAATCCAAACTCCCCATAGTCAGTGTAAAATTGAACGGCCAGGGAAAAACAGGAACAATGTTTTATTTTTAATTTTAATGGGATTTTATGAAATAATATTTATATTATTATTATATATAACCATTACATAACCAAATATAAATGTAAAATAAAATATGTGACCTATGAAGGTAAAAATTCTTTACTTTACT